CCCCTTCCTCCGCAACGATTGGTCAAGCCGGAGCCGGAAGAGGCGGGACTTCCTGGCGAGCTGCTTCTTTTTTTTTATACTTTATAACTCCGCCACCCCCGTTTTCTACCCGATATCGCAGATGTTTTCACCGTTTCGGGGTCTGATTAAACACCGGCTACGTTTGTCGCTAGGGTTATTTCGCCGCCGCGTCGGCTCCGGTCGCTATAGCAACCGAGAGGGGCGGGGTCTCTTGTACCGCTAAGCAACGCGCGCGAATTAGCGCTCGCGTTTGGGTCATGTGATCCTGGCCAACCCTCCTCCCAGCCCCCAGTCTCCAGGGTTACAGTTGGACTATGACGTAGTCGGATTCTACTTGAGCAAAACCGTGAGGAATGCAGCGTGTGAGCCGCGACCCCACGAGTGATGGCAGCTCTCACGTGGGACCTTCCGCCCTGTGGAGAGCTACCAGGGGATTGAGGGCACTCACAGGAGAGGCCTGTGAAAGCCAGACTAGTCACCACCCCATCTCTGACAGACAGTTATAGGGCACTGGTGAGACCCCAGAATGGGTCACGACCCTATTTTAATGGGGTTGGCAATGCTGGCTTAGATTTGTGAGTCATGAGGCCAAAATTGAAGCCTGAGCCCCACTCGCGGTAGGACTCAGGTTTTAGATCCTCTGCTTGGGGCTAAAGTCCTCAGGCTTTGGCTCCCTCTTCCCCACCAAGCAGTAGTTCCTTCTTGGGGTTGGTGCAGTAGTTTTTGTTAGAAGGGGTGGGGTTGCAGTGTAATACAGTTTGAAAACTCCTGCTATAGGATCTCACACACACACAATGGACAGCACTAGGGGAAAACCTGGCATGCACAGGTAGAGTTGACACCCTTCCAGGATTGGCCAGGAATTAAAGATTATGTCGTGATTAAATCTCCAGAAATAAGGTTAAACAAAATTGGCTACCTTATAGCAAACCCAATGAGAACAACAACGGTGTCCCAAGGAACTCTTCTTTCTTTGCCCTGGGAGTGATGTGTATTTCCCTGCACCCAGTGTCCTAGGCAGGGTTGCCAATTCTGAGGTACAAAAAAACTGGAATGTTCAGGATGATCTTGAGTTCATAAAACTAGACAGCTGGCAAAGTGTACTGAGCACCCTTACGACAGATTTCCCATTATAGATATCTCGAATCAGGGATGCTCCTGTAAAAACAAGGACAAGTGGCAACCTGATTCCTACTGCCCACAGAGAACAATCTAGGAAGGACAGTGTGGATATGCCCTCACAGGAAGCCTCCCAGAGAAAGTAATAGGGTCATATCAGAGGGTGGAGCACCCACAACTCCTGACAGTAACAGTGATGCATAGGATTTCCAACTCTCCCAGAATTGATGGACTGAACACCATTTGCGGCAATGGCATCTGGTCCAAAATGGCATTCTGTTGGGAAAGCTTGAAACCCTAGTGATGCAGGGTATCATTACATACACAGAGCAACATAAGTTTTCCAGGACCTATGGAAAGAGAGGCAGGGGTCCCCTTGACCCTGTTTTGAGTGGAACCATTAGTCTGAGAAATGTTCATAAATGGGTAGCACAAAAATTCTTACTCCTTTCAATGGCTCTAGCTCAAAAAAAACCCACAAACCCTAAATCCTATAATAAACATCACTTCTCCATCTCACTCTTTTTGTTTCTTCCCCTTATCTATGTTCATTGTCTATCTTCACTTTAAATTCATTGAAGCAGCAGCTATGTGTTATGTTTAAAGCATCAATAATCGTATTACAAGTCAATAATGCATAATGATAGTGAAAAGTCTTGTATGTTGACTCAGAATAACATAATGAATGATAGAAAGTCATAACAAACAGTTCTACAGACTGCTAACTAAAGACATACACTGTACATCTGATCACTCTGAAATAGAGTATTATGCAAGATTACTGGATGTAGACTTTCAAGGCCAAATTCAGGTGTCGAGAAGGCTTGTCCCAGTAGATATGAAGTACTGGGGGAGGAGACGGCACAAAATGAGAGAGCTCTGGTCAAGTTTGTCCTAGGAAATGCTGGGAGGAATTTGTCAATAAAGGATTTAGTTTAAGCTGCTTTTCTTGAACATAGAGGATTGGGATTAAAGGGAAATGAGGCTTCAGGAGTGCTTGGGAAGATAAGAAAGCACAGGAAAGTTTTTGATCTTGAAAGACTTGTTCTAGAGTGTAGGAATGTTGGGGACTCTTACCACCCCAATGCAGGAGAAAACTTTGAAAGATGTTGCCTGCTTATGTTTACTCCCCTTTACTGCTGTCACTGAAGTTTCCAGCTTTCCTTAGCTGCAATAGATATCCAGTGGCCTAAACACATTTGCTTATCCATGAAACAGTGGCTAAAAGTTTTCAAAATTCTATATTGCATCAATCCATGTTACCCCAGAATCTGGAGTGCCCTGTTCATTAATATCCCAAACACATGTAATGTATGGTACCTGAAGAAGACTGAAGACAAAAGCATTTGGGATCTTAATTACTAGTCTGAGAGCAGTGAATTACAGTGACATACAAACCAGAAAGTCAATTATATTGACTCTAGTACCAAATCTGGGTTTCAATATAAGCAGAGACCTCCATAAAGCCATGACTTAATTGATAAATGAACATATCATGCCACTTGGTATAAAAAAGGAAGGAGCAAAGGAAAAATCAAATAGCTCTGCATATTCAAAATATAGCATCTAAGTCCTGATTCATAGCTAGATGCTATGGGCGTCCAGTCAGAAAACAGAATGTGAGGAATGATTAGGAAAGAGAGAGATAATAAATAAGAAAATGTAATACCTCTATATAAATCCAGGGTATGCACACATCTTCAATAGTGTGTGCCAATCTGGTCATTCCATCTCAAAAAATATATTAGACTTGGGAAAGACACAACAGAGAAGGGAAACAAATATGATTAGGGGTATGGAACAGCTTCCGTATGGGGAAAGATTAAAAAGACTAGGACTTTTCAGCTTGAAAGAGATTTAACATCGGGAAGATGATATAGGCCTATAAAATCTTGACAGATGTAGAGAAAGAGAATAAGGAAATGTTGTTTGCTCTTTCACAGAACAGAAGACAGCGCTGTCCTGTGCTATGGACAGTTGAGGAGCAACCATCCCAGGATCTGCGCTTTTGGGGTCAGTGCGGGGCCCAGGGCAGTCCAGGGAATTATCAGGGGGCCTGGTGCTGGCAGCAGAGATTGGGGCCACCCCTGCTGGAAGCAGGAAGCAGTGACACATTTGGGAGCCAGCAGAGCAGAATAGGCAGGAGCCAGGTACTTCTACTTCCTGCTACAGCCAGTGAGTGCTGGGATAGGCCCAACTCCTGCTGCCAGCTCCAGACTTACCACTAATTTAAAAATATCCCATTGTTAGTTTAGTATGGGAGCATCTCCACTGTTCCTAGCAGCAATGGAAGCTCTAGGGAAAACTGGGCATCAGCAGGTGCTAAAGCAATGAAGGAAGAATTTCTGAAAATAGTGCAGATGCAATATGTAGTGAAACATGAGGTAATGTAATGGTAAATGGGTAAGATGAAATACTATATGCTGAGTGGGCAACTGATTGCAAGACCAGACTAAGAGTAGTTTCTGTGGGCATATCTAGTGAGGTTCTACAGTGTCAGTCAGGGGTCCAGTGCTTTTAGTGATCTGAATTAATGACTTGGATAATAGAGAATATGCTTATACAATTTGCAGATGACACTAAGCTGGGAGAAGTTGCAAGCACTTTAGAGGATACGATTTCCAAATTCCCTTGACAAATTGGAAAATTGATCTGAAATCAAGATGAAATTCAATAAAAACATTGCAAATATTTCACTTAGGAAGGAAAAATTAAATGCACAACTACAAAATAGGAACTGACTGTCTAGTTAGTAGTACTGCTGAAAAGGATCTGGGGTTCTCATGATCACAAATTGAACATTTTAACAAGGTGATGTAGTTAGAAAAAAGCTAATGTAATTCTGCAATTTGTATTAAAATAGTGTTGCAGCTAACACTATAGTTAATTGTCTTGTTTTACTTCACAATGGTGGTGCATCAGCTGGAGTAGTGTGCCTAAATCTGAGTACTAAACTTTCAGAAAGATGTAGGTAAATTGGAGAAAGGCCAGAGAAGATCAATAAAAATTATACAAAGATTTAAAAAAACGGTGAGGAAAAGTTTTAAAACCTGGGCATATTATTCCCGAGAAAAAAACTGACAGAGAAACCTGATACAGGCTTGAAATATGTTAAAGGGCTCTTAGAAAGAGGACCATGAACAATTGTTCTCCATAGACACAGTAATGGACTTGGTCTGCAGCAAGATACAGGAAAATATTCCAAATAGCAGTTAAGCAGTGGAACAGGCTTCCCCGGGGGCTGTCACTGTTAAAGTCTTTCAAGAACAAGCTGGACAAACACCTGTCAGGGATGATCTGGGTTTATCCTGCCTCTCTGAAGGTTTGTGGACCTAATGACCTTTCAAGGTCCCCTTCAGCCCCAGTCCCAGGATTCTACATAAAACAAAGCTCCTGACTCCCAACGATCATGAACCACCTGCGGAGTCACATTTACTAGGTGTGTGTGTGTGAGAGAGAGAGAAGGGAACAGCCATGTCAGAACCTGGGGCTGTTGGGGGCAATGCCCTTTTGATGAGAGTGGGCTGGTTCCCCTATACAGCCTCGGGGCAGAGAGAGGGACTGTGCAGCGCCCCAGCTGGTTAATGCCCCCCTCCCGCTCCTCTTCCATCATAAAGG